AGGCTCCAAAGCTGCAGAGAAACCCTGTCTTGAAAAACCAAAAGAAAAAAGAAAAGAAAAAAAGAAAGGAAGGAAGGAAGGAAGAAAGAAAGAAGGGAAGAAAGAAAAGAAGGAAGAAAGAGAAGAAAGAAAAGGAGAGAGAGAGAAGTGGCTTCTTGTGGTTGCGTCTGAACCCCAGGACTTCATTTCCTAATTGGTCAAATTAGGGCGAAGTTGGGGTTCTTTGGGAGAAGCAGATATTCCACCTGCAAGTCCCTCCCAGAGCAGGGGCTGGGCTCTTGCTCGGAGTGGCCGCCTTCAGCCCCAGCGCTAGGTCTCCGCAGTTCTGCCTTTTTCTCAGTTGACAGTAAGCAGGGAGCTGGAACCTCCCAGCTACCCTGTGAGGGCGTGGCCAATCTGAGCCTCTAGGTACGGGACAGACCTCAGGTGCTGGAAGAGCCGGGGAATGGGGGCTGGGAGGAAACAGCTGACTTCCTGAGACCTTGGAGTCTCTTCACCCCAGTGCTGGTGGCCTACTCCCGGGAGGACAAAGGGCTGGTTTAGGGATCAGAATCCTGGGGGTGGGGAGGACGAGCAGCTGGGCTGAGGAATTTCCTGAGTCACACCGCTAGGTCTCCCCACACCGGGAGGACAAAGGGCCGGCAGTGCTGGGTTTAGAGGCCTGGGGCAAACTGTGGGGCATTTACCTTCTCGCCCAGGCCTTCAAGACCCTTGGCATCTTTTCTTCGTGCAGGAACCTCTGAGGTCATACAGGGGTGGCTGACCTGAAACTTGCTTACTAGACCAGGCTGGCCTCTGCCTCCAAGGGTTGGGGTTGAGGGTGTGGCCACCATGCCTGTCTCCATGTTGTTTTGGGGGCATTTGACCGTCCTGACTTGGCCCAGGGATTACAGAAGCATCCACGTGTACCTGCTCACGCGGTGCTGGGGTCTGCATGGAGCTCTTTGCGGTGTTCGCAGGGCAATCACGTTACTCAGAGCCCTCTTGCCACACCCCTCAAACCAATCTTCCCGTGAATCAATCTGTACAGCCTTCCCTCGTTATCAAGGGGGACAGGGTGGGGCTGTGAGTTCCAAGCTGGGGGCGGGGGAGAGCTGTGTTTGGGCTGAGGGCTCGCACTTGGCATGCTCCAGGCCCCGGGTTCCATCCCAGCTAAATGGTGCTGTGTATCTGTCATCCCCGTTCTGAAGTGGAGGTAGGACGGTCATGAGTGAGGCTGTCCCGGCTACACAGTGAGTTTGAGTGTAGACTACGTGAGACCAGCTCTGAAAAAGGAGAAAAGAGAAATAGAGAGGACGCGGGTGATCCCAGCCCGCAGGGGGCTGAGAGAGTTACGTGAGACTTTCTCCAGTAGAAATGGAAGCTCTCGTACTCAATGGGGCTGTTTAGGGGGGTGGCTTAGCCTCGCTTTGTGTTCCCAAGTGTTCCCCTCAGCGCCCCGGCTCCCTGCCCGCCGCAGGCAACCTCGCGGGTAACTAACTGTCCTCGGCCCCCCCAACGCGCGTCCGCGAGGACGCCGCTCCGTTTCCCCGTCTTTTCCACCATCGAGTCTGCGCAGTTGCTGACAACAACAAACCCTCAAGCCCCGCCCCGCTTCCCATTGGCTGCAGGGGCCGCGCGTCTTTGGCGCACCCGGCCAATAAGAGACGTCAGTGGGCGTGGCCAAGGGCGGGCAAGTCAGACTTGGCATCGCGCACATTGGCCGGCTGTGTGAGGGGAGGAGCTGTGGCTCCGGCCGCCGCGATGAGCTGGTGCCGACTAAGCCGCTTACTGAAGCCCGCGCTGCTGTGCGGGGCTCTGGCTGCTCCAGGCCTCGCAGGCACCATGGTGGGCACCCCGGGGACCTGGGGGATGGCGGTCACAGCGGTCGTGTGGGCGATCTGGTGGGGACAGGGTCCGGGGTTGGGTCCCCGTGTCCAGGGTGGAGACCGGGGGTCGTGTTAGCTAGACTAGGGGGTCCCCCGGTGGGAAGGCGGACTCCGGGAGGCATTCCCCGGGCAGAAGGCGGTCAGGCCTTGGCGGGGGAGGTTCCTTGGGGGTGGGAACCGGTGTCGGGGTCACCATAGCGGGCTCTGATCTGGTCCCGCGCCCCGCCCGGCCTGGTGCGTCACAATCGGCGGCACCTTGGCTACCGGCTCTTTGTCCCCGCGCTGCCCTCGGGACTCCCAGTCGGGGGAAGCATGGGCCGCGCGGCCGCCGGCAGCCCGGGACGTGGCGGGTCCCCGGGAGGCCGGCGACGGCGCGAACCTCGACCCCAAAATACTCGGAAGCGCCCGAGCCCCCGGAGGAGGAGGAAAGCTCGAGAGCGCCGCCGCAGGAGGGCGCGCCCTCGCGGGACGGATTCGGCGCCCGGGCCGCTACTGCAGAAGCCTGCTCAGGACAGCAGCTGCGCCGAGCTCCTGGGCTCGGTGTGCGGCCAGGGGTACCCCTACCGTCCCCTCCCCTGGTAGCATCTTCTAGAGGCTCCACAGCTCCTTTCAGAACGCCCTGAAGGGGGCAGATGCACGGAAGCCGGAGGAGCCTTGGTCTTCCCCGCAGCCTAGTGCTGCTGGGCATTCTTTTTGTTGGTGTGGTACTCTGTCCCTGGGAAACCTGGGGTAGGACACTCAGTCTCCCTGTTTTACAGTGCGCGTCCCGTGATGATTGGCGCTGTGCGCGCTCCATGCACGAATTCTCAGCCAAGGACATCGACGGGCACATGATTTGCCTGGATAAGTACAAGTGGGTGCCTGGCTATGTGGGTGGTGCAAGACCGGTCTGAAAAAGTGACTCCCCTGACGGTGACCTCATTCCTACTTTTTCTCTCCCAGGGGTTTCGTTTGTATCGTCACCAACGTGGCCTCACAATGAGGCAAAACCGACGTAAACTACACTCAGCTAGTCGATCTGCATGCCCGATATGCTGAGTGTGGTTTACGAATCCTGGCCTTCCCCTGCAACCAGTTCGGGAAGCAGGTGCGTAATGGTCCCAGGCAGTGCCCAGAGTCGGGGTGCTGTGTTAGTGTGTGTATCTGTCTCTCTTTCATCCACCTTACCACAGTCTATTGCTACCCGCAGGAGCCAGGAAGTAATCAAGAAATCAAGGAGTTTGCAGCCGGCTACAATGTGAAGTTTGACATGTACAGCAAGATCTGTGTAAATGGGGACGATGCCCACCCACTGTGGAAATGGATGAAAGTCCAGCCCAAGGGCAGGGGCATGCTGGGAAAGTGAGTTGCCCTGGGGGAGTGGACCAGGATGGGAGCAGGCGCCAGCTTTTTGGTTTGTTTTGAGGCAGGGTCTCACTGTGTAGCTCTGGCTGGCCTGAAATTCACAGAGATCTATCTGCCTGCCCTGCCTTCAAAGTGCTGGGATTAAAGGTGTGCATCACCTGGCCCAGCCTCAGATTTATTGGCATGTGTATGAATACTTTGCCTGAGTGTATTTATGTGCACTACTGGGGTGTAGTGCATGCAGGGGCCAGAAGAGGGTGTTGTACCTCCCGGAGCTGGAGCCACTGTGGATGCTGTGGCTACAATTCTCTTAACCACAGGCCTGTCTCCACCCACCCCCTCCCCAGATTATTTTCATTTTGTGTACGGGTATTTTGTCTGCATGTATGTCTGTGTACTACATGCACGCCTAACACTCTGAGAGATCAGAAGAGGGCCTGTGATTCTCTGTGAGCCACTATGTGATGTGGTGCTGGGAATGTCACTCCCCTTCTTCAGGAGAACAATCTATTCTTTTAACTGACCCCACACACACACACTTTTTTTTTTTTTGAGGCATGGTCTCACTGTGTAGCCCTGGCTGGCCTGAAACCCACAGTGTTCCCTAGGCTGGCTGAACTCAGATCTGCTTGCCTCTGTCTCCTGAGTGCTGGGGTTAAAGGTGTGCACCCCCATGTCCTAGTGGGTACCACTGCTAAGCCCTCTTTTTTTCCCCTCTCTCTTAACAGTGCCATTAAATGGAACTTTACCAAGGTAAGAGTGGCATACAGTGTGTGTGGGGGGGGACACCCAACTCCCCTGTACTCTTGTCACCGCATTCTCTGTCCCACAGTTTCTCATCGATAAGAATGGCTGCGTGATGAAGCGCTATGGTCCCATGGAGGAGCCCCTGGTGATAGAGAAAGACCTGCCGTGCTATCTCTAGCCCTACAAGTGTGTGCCCCCACCGAGCCCCTCTGCCCTGTGACCCCTGGAGCCTTCCACCCCGGCACTTATGACGGCCTGCCTGCAAACCAGCTTGCTGGTGGGGCAGTCCTGAGAACCTGGCGTGCACCCGCCGGAGGAAGGTCCCGAGGCCTGTGGCCTGGGCTCGAGCTTCACCTTGGCTGCCTTGTGGGAATAAAATGTTGAAACACGTGTGTGTCCTCGGGTCAGGAATTGAGCGCATTGCGGATTAGATGGCCATGCCTGTGCCCCAGGACTCTGCAGGTCCGGAACTGGGTCAGCAGGTTTTAGTTCCCTAGTAATTCCTGAGGCTCTGCCCAGGCCAACAGGAAGGACCAGAGTGTGGGCAGGGCTGTTCCTAGGAGGGCCCTAACCTGTTAGGAGGCCTTTTGGGTTGAGGTCTGGGGAGCTGCTTTAGAGTTGCGTGCATGTGTGTAAGCTGTCCATGTTCTAAGTGGGGCTATGGGGACTACCAGCAGTGGGCGTGGTTGAGCCAGAGCCTCTGGGGCAAGTCTGGAAGTCCTGTCCCTAGTAGCCCATGGCACATCTGTGTGGCTCTGAGCTTTGTGACCCTAGGACCGTGGGCTTAGCCAGTAGATGGCCACCTGCCCCAGCCTTCCCTCCACTGACTGAGGACCCCCAGCCCTGACTGCAGCTGCCACGGGGTGAATTCCATCTCCAGCTGGTCCCCCAGCCAACAAGAGGATAGGTTTGCTGACTAAGCTGTCATCTGTGTCTACTCTCAAGGGGGGAGGGGCGCGGCTGCTCTGTGACCCTCGAGTCCCCCCTTTCCACTGACCTGCAGGCCACAGCACACTGGGAAGTAGGCAAAAGGCGCATATATTTTTAAAAAAGATCTTTACATATATACACCAGAGTTAATTATAAATACATAGAAACCAGGGCCCGCTAGCTGCCCACAGATTCCGGAGCTGGGAAGTGGCGGGTAACAATAATTTAGGGAGGAGGGGATTGCATATATTAACGGGGTCTGCCCCGTGGAGTCCCCATAGACGGCGGGGCCTCAGCACCGGATTTCCTGAGTTACCAGCTCTCTGGGACCACCAAGCCCCACGGTCTCCAGGCTGGGCGCATAGAGCAGTGCAGGAGAGGCTCCGCACCCAGCTGGCGGGTAAGGCACTGCGGCCAGGTGCCCTCAGTAGTCGTGGGAACCTCTTTGCTCGCAGAGGAGCCGGTGTGGGCCTTGCTGCCCAGGACAGTTGTAATCCAGGGGCCATGGTGGCCGCCTAGGAGTTCGGGAAGGGTGGGCTGAAGTGGATGACGCTCTGCCTCTCTGTACCCCCACCACCCATGCCCACCAGAGGCGCAGGGGTCTCGGTGGGCCCTGCGCGCAGAGAGCGGAGCATGTCCTCCAACACTTCCCTGAAATTGATGTCGCAGCCCTGGTGTGTCAGCTCTGCGGGGTTGGTTGCAGGGTCTCTTGCACCCAGCATCAGAGAACTGGGGTCGGGAGGAGGAAGCGAAGGGAAGGCAAAGCGTGGAGGTGGCGGGAAAGCCTCGGCCGGGGGACTGTAGGTCAAATCCAGCACCTCACCAGGACCGCAGGGAAGCGCGATGGCGCGTGGAGTGGGTGGACGCGTGGCCAGCCCATGGGTGCTGCGGCGCTTCACCTCGGCATCCATCAGACGCAGCTCCTGCAGTATGCGCGGAACACAACCCTCGGGGATCTTGATGCCTGAAGTAGGGAGGACACGCGGTCATGTCTGCCTGGGGACGATACCTGGCAATCCTTTCTCTGGGGATCCCGTGCCCGCCGCCCCACTTACCCACTTGCTTCTTCTTGTCCTTGGTCTTGAGGCGCACGATCTGTAGGTAGCTGCTGCTGCTGACGTCCGCCATGACGGCAGCGATGCGGCCCCACACGCGCAGCAGCGCCCCACACAGCATGTAGTGGTGGCGGAGGCGCAGGCCCTGGGCGCAGCCCTTGCCCTCCTGTGCCAGTCGGCAGCGCTGGTTCCTGTACCAGGGGATCACCGGTCAGCTCGCAGCGTGCGCTTTCCCAGCCCACAAGGCCCTGGGACACTGGGCGCCCGGCCCCGCCTCCCGCCAGGCCTCACCAGGTGGTGTGGCTGCAGTGCTCCAGCGACAGGGCATAGGTGCTCTCCCAGGGCTCCCGGGCCTCCTCCGCGGTGACCTGGGGATGCAGGCCCAAGTCAGCAGGGAAACAGACTCAGGGGCTTCCCCACACATTCTCAGCTGCCATGGGAGGGTAGGGTGGTCCTTCCATACCCGGTGGAACCTGCGGCACAGGCTGTCCAGGGTCTCCAGCTGGCTCTGTCGGCCGATGTTCGGCTTGTAGACGGTGAAATAGTCACCGCGGTTCTGTTCCGCCAGGAGGCAGCTCATCTTGCTGCCTCGTACCTAGGGCCCAAGAGTCACCACAGTTGCCCACCAGGGTCTCTGGGTAGGTGGCTGACAGGGCACCTACCAGGAGTGGGTCCACTCACCTTGTAGGAGAGGTAGAAACCGTCATAGGGACCTTTCAGCTCCAGAGACCTGGTGAGCGCCTCTTCCCACTTCATGCCGCGGTCCACACTGATCTGCAGTGGCGAACAGGGTATTAGCAGGTTCGGGGGCTGTAGCCATGGCGGGGGCTGGGTGGCTTCCTGCTCACCTTATAGAAGACCACCTGCCCATCCTGTGGGTGCCCAGGTGCCAGGAACACCTGCTGGCTTTCTTCATGAATCTCATTGATGCCAGGGGCCAGGTCTGAGGAGAGGATAGGTGGTCAGCGGCCAGGACAAGACAACCGATTCTCTGATATACCACAGAGGTGACCCCGTGAATGCGCAGAGGGACCAAAAGCCTGGAAACCAGATGTCTTGTGGGTGTCAGGGAACCCTCTAGTCTAGGGTCTCTGGTGTATTGTTGTGCACAGCTGCAAAGAGGGACTGTGTCTGTTGCCAAGGAGAGCTGTCTTTTTTTAAAAAATATTTATTTATTATATGATATTCTGTCTGTGTGTATGCCTGCAGGCCAGAAGAGGGCACCAGACCCCATTACAGATGGTTGTGAGCCACCATGTGGTTGCTGGGAATTGAACTCAGGACCTTTGGAAGAGCAGACAATGCTCTTAACCTCTGAGCCATCTCTCCAGTCCCGATAGCTGTCTTTTTTAAAAAAGTTTTATCTCTGTGTCTGGGCATTTATCTGCACGTGTGTGCATGCCCAGGGAGACCAGAGAACGCATCAGATCCCCTGGAGCTGGAGTTACAGCAGTGGGGTGGGGTGGGGAAGGCGAGCAGGCCGTTGAACTACCTCTCCAGTCTCCCTATTTGTTTACACTGAGACAGGTCTCAGTAGCTCAGGCTGGCCTTGAGGTCACTGTGCGGTTGGAGGAACTGCCTTTACCAGCCCTGGGTTGGCAGGTGGAGTAGCAACAGGGGCTCTGTCCAGTGAGCACAACACACAGCTGGCATGTAGCCCAGGCTGGCTCTTAATGCAGCCGACACAAAAAACATAATCTTTTGGAATGTGTTGAGATTCCTTGTGCTGTAGCTGCACTGTGTGGGTCTCTAGCATGAGCTTCCCAGGTGATCACACTTAACAATGACAGCAGCTTGGACCAATCTCTGGTCCTCGTCTGTAGCTTCTCAACGGTAGACTTCAAATATACAATGTATTGGCCCTGGATCCCATGAGGGGCTCCCAGCGCCTGAACTCCAGCCCTAGCCGGAAGCTTACCCAGAATGCCCATGTCGTATCTGCCCTCCTTCTTGTCTATCTCGATGAGGTGGTCAAAAGTGTCAGAGAAATACTGGAACAGAGCATTCTGCTTGTGCACCTCCAGCCCCAGGATGCGGTTCAGGAACTTGGTAATGGAGCAGTCTGCGGGCAGAGCTGAGTCTCAGGGCGCCTTCGGGCCCTCCCAGTGGCCCTTGCACCATCACCTTCCAGTATTCCCGGGACTCACCCTTCTCCACATCCAAGCAGCCAGTGCGCGACTCACGGCCACCGATGCCCACAGAGAGCAGGCCCTGCTTCATGTCTGCGAGGGTAAACCAGCCGCTGGTCTTGGATCCCGGGGGACCCTGCCAAGTCCTTTCCCTAGAAGCCCGCCCATGCACCCAGTCCCCAAATCCCGATGGAACCAGCCCCGCTGTAGTCCGCATGCCTCCCAGAAAGGCTCACCACGAAAGAAGGCGGCATCCCCTCCCGGGTAGCCCTGGGGCAGGGGCACCCTGCTGTCCGTCTGGCCCAGGATGGTGGTGAGGACGCGGCTGAGAGCACGGGTGCCGTACTGTGGGGCAGGCGGTGTGAGTGGGGCCGGGGTAGAGTGACCTCCCCGCCGCCACCCTCTACTTACCTTGTTCTCGAAGTTGTACTTGCTCAGGTCTCGGGACTCGGTGGCCCTGCGATCTCCGTGGGTCAGGGCACCCTGCCAGAGTGACCCAGGACCATTTGTGATTCAGGCTCCATCATTTCCTGACCTTCCCCAGGTCCGCCCTCCGCCCCTGCCCCATCTGCTCACCAGGCTCTCCAGCCGCTTGGCCACAATGGAGGCGAACCTGCGCTCCCCGGCCAGCTCCGAGATGAGGAAGACGTACTCGGGCGCTGAGACCTGGTTGGATCTGTGGGTGCGACCTGAGGACAAAGAGGCTCTAGTGACTGGGATGGGGGTCTCGGGGAAGGAACAACCCGGGCCGGGGCTGGGGGCCTCACCAAACTGCTGAATGGCACGGTCTGCGCTCCAAGGCAGTTCCAGGGTCATGTGTACCCGGCGTCGCTGGTTCTGGACCCGGCGGTCGGCTTGGAGGGAGACACCGGAGCTGGAGGCCTCAGAGATGATGGCCACAAGCTGGGGGTGGGGGTGCGATGGGACAGGGTGTTGGGGGCCTTCTCACTGTTCAGCTCTGGGTCCCCAGGGTTACTCCCTTGCAGAGCTGTGCTGGGAGCACCCCAGGGCACCTGGGCCCCTCGCTGCCCCGCACCAGGCCCCACCTTCTCGCCGCTCATAAAGCGCTGTTTCTCCCTGAGGTTCACATGGTCGATGGACAGGCCCTGTTCTGCTCTGGACTCAAAGACCACCGACCCGTCAGGCCTGGACACTACACGGCCTTTCCTTCCAGTCATCTGGTTGAGGAGAGAAAAAGGAGACTCCCACCAGCTATCAGTGTGGTAGCCCTGCTGGGACCCTGTGCAGGGACTTGGTTTCCAATGTGGCCTCAGCCCATGAGGATTTCTGCCTTTGTCTTTCTTTGCTTTCTTTTTAGAAAATAGTAATTATTTTATATATGTATATGTGTCTGTGTGGCACATGTGTGCTGGTGTCCTCAGGTCCACCCAAAGAGTGTTTGCGGACCCATCTCTCACCTCCCTCTGCAGTCAGGCTCCACCCCTGTCCCTACGGTGGCTCACCTCAGCCACACACTCAGGACCCCCAAGCTGGTGGATGAGCTGGTCCAACGTGTTCACCGGCAGCTCCCGGCCCAGTGTGCGCACCTTGGCCAGCAGGCCTTGTTTCAGCCGTTCTACCCGGTCCAGGACACCAGGCCCCTGCTGGTCTCTCTGAAGTGGGTACAGGGGACCTGGAGAGGGAGGGAAGAGCGACAGTGTCAGTGAGGTCGCAGCAGGGGTGGGGCCAAGCGGGACAGAGTCACCCTCCTGTGTCTGACAGGCTTTGAGTCTCACTTTCCCCGTCCCCCATGGGTGTGTGCTGGGGAAAGGACCTTGTGTGGTTGTGTCTGCTGTGTAGAGCACGGCTGGACGATGGAGGCTCACCTCGGTCATCAGTGGGGAGCGTGGGGGCCTCCACGATGACCACATCGTCATCTAGCAGGGACTCTGGGGATGAATTGAAGTCGCTGTCCAGGCCAGCATCTGACTCTGTGCTGCTGCCGTCGCTAATGCGGATCACTCCTGAGGCCTCCAGAGCCAGTCTGGGAGCCTTGGGGACGCGCCCCCGGGGCCGCCCTGCAGGAGGGGTGGGGAAGCTGAAGCAGGGGTAAAGCTGGAGTGCAGGGCAGGGGGCAGGAGGCACCGAGGGCGCTAGTAAGGCCTGACTAGGACAGGGCAGGCTTCCTGTGCTCTTCCCGTGTCTTGTGTTCCCTCCAGGAAGACCCCAGCCCTACTTATGGGAGGGAAAGGTGAACTGAGACATCATGGCCCCATCCTCAGCCCTGGCTGGCTTCATGGCTGAATTCCACTGGAGAGTGAGAGAGGCTCAGAGGCTGTCAAAGCCTGTTCGAGGGACAAGTTCAGGGACCTCCTCTCAGTGCTGTAGGCTGCCGGAGGGTAAGGGGCCTGTGGATGTTCTAGGGACTCAGGAGTGGGAGAGCCCTGCACTGTCCTGTCCTTCATGCCGGGCTGTGTGTCTGCAGGTAAATTACTTGGCTTCTCTGAGTCTGGTTTTGAGGATCTGTGAACTGGAAAGTAGGTGGCCTTGTGCTCTGACCTGTGTTTCTGGGCACAGTCCCGTCCTTACAATCAGCATGGACACAGCCAAGAAGCACAGCTGTGCAGCACACAGAGGCTGCCCCATCTGCCAGCGAGTGGGGCTGGAGCTGGGCAATGATACAGGGGTCCTAAGGCCTTGGCTAGTGGGGCTGGCTGGATGGGTGGCCTGAGATTGGAGCCCACCGGGGTCTTGTCCCAGAACTTTGGTGACCATGTGCATACTCTCAGATGGGTTGGTACAGGACACTAGAATGGGGTGGGGAGTGGAGCACACAAAGCCAGGAGGAACCTGGTAGGCTCTTACTTTTCCTCTTTCCGCCTCCCCGGTCCCGCCTCCTCCGGGTGGAAGGGAAGTGCTTCTGAATGAGCGACAGGAAGACGCCTCTGCAGAGGAGAAGAGTGCTCAGCACAGCCGCCACAGCATGCGCCTCAGGGAGAGGAGTGACAATGGGATACACTGGTCCCAGACTGGGGCCCCTGTGTGGGATTGGCAGGGGGAAGCTTCCCTAGGGTGGACTGAGGTGACTTCTGTCAGCCTGTGAGGGCACAATAGGCCAGACCTGAGAAGCCCATTATACTGTGTTAAAATGGTACTACCTGCCGGGTGGTGGTGGCGCACGCCTTTAATCCCAGCACTCGGGAGGCAGAGGCGGGCGGATCTCTGTGAGTTCGAGACCAGCCTGGTCTACAAAAGCTAGATCCAGGACAGGCTCCAAAACCACAGAGAAACCCTGTCTCAAAAAAAAGGTACTACCTGCGTGGGGGCAGATGTCCAAAAGTCTCCTGTTGAGATCCCAGCAGTGATGTGCCCTCCAGACCCAAGGGCCACCCTCAAGATTCCTGTCTGGTCCTACCCCTCCTGGCTTTTCACAGTTGCTGAGGGTCAAGGGGTAGCAATAGGCCATTCAAGGTGACACACCAGGGAGTCCCCCATCCAAGGCTGCCCTGGTGCCTGTTGTGTCCCCAAAACTTTCGCCACTCACTCTGCAGCTGAGACAAAGCAGTCCAGGCGCCCTTCATTCTCATCCAGCACCTCGCGGGTCCGCGCCTCTCCTGTGGACTGCAGACCGATGACCACACACTGCAGGGATGGAGTGTCTGAGCCGGCTCCAGGGTAACTAGCCCATCTTATCAAGTCCCCCTGAGGTCCTGCCTAGCCTCCGGGCATCCCACCATCTAACTATGAGGGGAGGTGGCAGCTATCAGGGTCATGGCCTCAAGGCTGGTCTTGGCACTCACCTTGTCCTGGCTCAGCTCCTGCTGGGCCAGCTCCACCAGTCGCTGCACCTTAGCTGCAATGCACAGGTACTTGAAGAAGCGCTGGTGCGCTGACCAGAACTGACCCCACAGGGACTTGCGAGACTCCAGGCCGATCCAGTCGGCCGCCTGCTGGAACACGCTCAAGGCCTCAGCCCACTGCAAGAGCAAGGCCTGTTAAGCCTGCCAGCTGACCTTAGGCAGGGACTCCAGGGGCTGGTGGGGTGAGGGGCAGTAAGGGTAGCAACCAAAACTGCACAGTGAGAATGTCACAGCCAGGGCCCAGGGCAGGGTGAACAGGTTCAAAACACAGGCTCATATACAAAGCTGTCAGGTTGTGCAAAGGCTGTTTTGTTATTTGACTAAGAATCTTATATAGTTGACAGAGGTAGAGGTGCACACCTTTAATCGCAGCACTCCTGAGGCAGAGGCAGGGGGATCTCTGAGTTTGAGATCAGCCTGGTCTACAGAGTGAGTTCCAAAACAGTTAGGGATACATAGAGAAACCCTGTCTAGAAAACCAACCAAAGAAACAAATAGAATCTCAAGTAGCCCAGGCTGGCCCTAATCCCCTTGCTTCAGCCTCCTGAACACTGAGACTTAAAACACTATGTCTGACTTAAAAGTCTCCTTGGGGCAGGGGCTGCTGGAGGCCAGGTTTCATGTATCCTAGGGCTGCAGGAGGCTGCAGGAGGCAGGGTTTCGTGTATCCTAGGGCTGCAGGAGGCAGGGTTTCATGTATCCTAGGGCTGCAGGAGGCAGGGTTTCGTGTATCCTAGGGCTGCAGGAGGCTGCAGGAGGCAGGGTTTCGTGTATCCTAGGGCTGCAGGAGGCTGCAGGAGGCAGGGTTTCGTGTATCCTAGGGCTGCAGGAGGCAGGGTTTTGTGTATCCTAGGGCTGCAGGAGGCAGGGTTTTGTGTATCCTAGGGCTGCAGGAGGCAGGGTTTCATGTATCCTAGGGCTGCAGGAGGCAGGGTTTCGTGTATCCTAAGGCTGCAGAAGGCAGGGTTTCGTGTATCCTAGGGTGGCTTTGAGCTGGATATGCAGTCAACAATGACTTCATTTCTGATCCTCCTGCCTCTGCCTCCCAAGTGCTGGGATGACAGGCCTGCACCCCATACCTAGGTTTCAGAGTTTCTACAGGACAGGGGAGCTCAAGGCCACCTGGGCACCATGAGCACCATGTCCAGTCATCTCTGCCAGGTCCTGAGCAGGGTCCCTGGTCTCCACACACTCCCTGCTAGGAGTCCCACTTGTCTCATGATGCACTCCGGAGTTCTCTGGGGATAGTGCTGGGCCTGAAGAATCGAGAATGTTCACTGGAGGCCACAGGGACAGGCACCATAGATGCCCGCTGATTCCCAAAGGGCTATTCTCAGCATGGCTCTGCCAGGACCATGCATTTTGGCCTTTTGTTTTGTTATGTTTTGAGACAAGGTTTTCCTATGTAGCCCAGGCCTCCTGAGTGCATGGTGGACAGCAGTGTGCTGTCAAGCCTTGCATACACTGGACACGCTGGGTATGACGGCACACGCCTATCACACCAGTACATGGAGAGCAGAGGGAGGAGGGTCCAGGTTGAGGACCTGTTGCTGAGACAGTGTGGGAACAAGAATCTGTCCATACAGAGCCCATGGAGGCGGGACACAGTCACTGGCTCCACGTCATCATCTAGTGCAGCATCCCCTAGGCTGTGGAGGCAGGTCTGCCAGCGCCACAGTACCACACTGGTGAATCCCTCATGAAAAGTCAGGGATTCTGGTACACACAGGTGGCTGAGGCAGGAGGATTGCCAGAACTTTGAATCCAGCTGAGCTATAGTGAGAATGGATAGTCTCAGAAATAAAAGTAAAAGTGATGGGGCTGGAGATGGAGAGATGGCTCAGTGGTTAAGAGCACTGGCTATTCTTCCAGAGGATCCAGGTTCAATTCCCAGCACCCGCATGGCAGCTCACACCTGTCTATAACTCCGTTCAAGGAGAGCTGATGCCCTCACAGAAACATGCAGGCAAAATGCCAATACACACAAAAATCATGAAAGAAAGAAAGAAAGAAAGAAAGAAAATAAGCCTGGCGGTGTTGGCGCACGCCTTTATTCCTAGCACTTGGGAGGCAGAGATAAGCAGATCTCCATGAGTTCGAGGCCAGCCTGCTCTACAGAGATATAGGACAACCAGGGCTACACAGAGAAACCCTGTCTCGAAAAACAAACAAAAGTAAAGCGAATAAAACTAAAGAGCTAGAGCAGTGCAGGCTCAGGCCAGACAGCCCCGGGAGAGCAGTGCAGGCCCGGGCTCTGGAAAGCACCGGCTCCACTATAGAAACAACATCTATGGGATGGCGTGACTGTTCAACACAGATTAGGAGGAGGAACAGAGGTCCCTGTTTACCCCAGCTTACCAGCCGGGCTGCCCGATTATAGACCTGCTCGAAGGCGGGGGACAGCGGGATCTCCTCAATGCGGAACGTAACCCCGGAAAAGCTGAGCTGGCGTGCGATGTACATGCCACTGACCTTCATGTCCATGGCCACAATCTCCATGGCGCCCACTCCCCTGCAGACAGATGAGCAGAGGGTAAAACACAGCACATGGCAGAGGCCCTGTGGCCATGAGAAAGACACAAGGCTGGGCCTGGACAGACCTGTATGGCCAGAGGGGAGCCTGGCAGAGGACTTAGGAGAAGGGCTCATCTTTCTGAGAGGACAGGAGGTGCTAGGGAGAGACAGGATGGCATGTGTGCATCAAGGGCCCTCAGGATTCCTGGCAGGGACAGCCATCCCCACAAGCAGAGCAGGGGCTCACCTCTTTTCAATGGCGTGCAAGAACTCCTCGAAGGTCCGGAAGGGTGTGCCCTCGCCCCAGATGCCCAGGCGACTCATGTAGATCATGTTGCGGGGCTCGGAAGCACCTAGAGGTTGGTTGGAAGCAGGGAGCCGAGTGAGGTACAGTGTCATAACCCCAGGGAAGTGGGGAGGCCAAGGGAAGAGAACTGAAGTCCTAGGGAACGTGTCCAGGGGTACCCTCAAGGTCAGGCAAAAGGAGGCATGGAGACAGGAAGCTCCATATTTGCTCCAGGTGCCACCAAGCAGAAAAGGTACTGATCGAAGTTCTGTGCACAGCTGGCAGGGCGCCCCATTCCTGTGTAGGTGTACCAGAGGCCACATATGTGAAGGAGCTTGCCCACCCAGCTCAGCTGCTGCCCCCATCCCACCTGTGGCGCTGGCGTACACCACTCTGGCCTGGGGCAGCTTGCTTTGCAGGTCTAGCACGGCCTTGCCCATCTTGGTGGAACTGGCATTCTTGGCTTTGTGGCACTCATCAAATACAATCTGGGATATGCTGGGTTAAGGAATGCTCCAGAAGGATGGAAGGTGTTCTGTTGGTAGGTGTTAAAGGGCACTGGGAGTGGGGCAATGACAGCCTATGGAGGCTTGCTTGCTCAGCAGGCAGGAAGCTGAGTTCCATCCTCAGCACCACATAAGCCAGGCCTAGCTAGCGGTGCCTGCCTGCCACAGCAGCCCCTGCTGAGGGAAACCCTGCCTAAAAAAACAACAGTGCCAAGGGGACATGGCTTAGCAGAGCACACGGTAACCATAGCACCAAGGAAAGAACACACTGGGTAGAGGCTCTTGCCACAGCAAGCTCAGGGCCACCACTCCTGGTACATCCCTGCAGGGCCAGCGGCATTCACCACGGGCATACACTGTGTCCTGGGTCCTGTGGGCTGCCCACATGGAGGAGCCCCAGCATGCACAAGCTCTGTCCATACAGTTAGTCAGTGGCTCCAACACTATATATAGGGAGTCTGGTTGCCTACAGGCTTGCTAGGACCAGATCAGGATGAGTGCGGAGGAAGGACAGTTTGCAGGTTCTACCCTATGCTCAGCCCTGATATCAGAACAGTTCTGAAAGGGCTATGCATCTGAGGTGAAGATGCAGGCCTAGTTGAAAAGGGAGCTCACAACCACAGGTCAGTGCGTGCCAAGACCTCAGTGTTGCCTTGGTCCCTCCATTGCTCTCCGCTCCCAGGCTGAGCTGCTCTAGCCCCTTGGCTCTGCCCTTCTCTGTGCCCATCCATCCACTGGCTGCAGGATACCACACCATCAAAGGCCTCGCCGCACCACTGCAGGATCTGGCGGAGGCGTGTGCGATGCTGCCCACCTGCCTGGCTTTCTCCAATCAGGGCAGAGTAGGTGGCAAAGAGGACACCCTCTGAGGTAGTGTTGTCACCATACTTGATCTGTGGACACAGGTTCAGATGTGGGGATACGGGCAGGGACTCCTCTACTTTAGTTTCTTCCTTAGTAAAGGTCATCCATGACCTCCCTACCTTGCTCAATGCGTGCACCGCGATGCCTGGAGCCTCAATGTCTCTCAGGTCCCGCTCCGCATCATACTTGAGGTCATTGGAGGCACTGAACCTGGGGGAGAGACCTGGTCAGACACAATGCTGCCTGTCTCATGTTATCCCACCCACCCGGGACACCAGGCCAGGCAGGAACTCACCACAAAGCTTTCTTCCGGCCCCGCAGGTAATTCTCCACTATGATGCCAGCCACTGTGCGGCCCTTGCCCACGCCGGCTCCATCCCCAATCAGGAACCCAGCGCGCTGCCCACTGGGCAGTAGGACCTCATGTTGCTGTGGGTGAGCAGAGGTGAGTCAGGCCTGGGGTGCAGGTGGCCTCCTCATGAGCCTGGAAGGGGTTGAGGGGGCTGGCACCTGGCAGGCGTAGGTGATAGCTTCCAGCTGTAGAGCAGATAGGGTCCCGTTGTCTGAGGTGGGTAGTGCCAGGGTGTAGGTGATGTCTGGGGGAGGAACACTGGACAGTGTACTGGTCTCCACTACACGATCTGGATGCTGTTTCCCAATCTTGGCTGGTGAGGGGACAGAGGGCAGAGTTGGCGCAGAATAAATAAATAGGGTAGAAGTAGCCAGCAGGATGCCAGGTGTGCACTCTGCACACACGACTCTGTCCTGACGCCCGCACTATGGATCGGGTGTGCACTCTGCACACACGACTCCGTCCTGACGCCCGCACTATGGATCGGGTGTGCACTCTGCACACACGACTCTGTCCTGACACCCGCACTATGGACCGGGTGTGCACACACAACTCCGTCCTGACGCCCGCACTATGGACCAGGTGTGCACACACGACTCCGTCCTGACGCCCGCACTATGGACCAGGTGTGCACACACGACTCCGTCCTGACGCCCGCACTATGGACCAGGGAGGGGCCATGAGCCCTCGGGTTTACACAGCTGTCTTCCTAGGAAGCATCTCTATCCTGTCCCTGGCCCAGACTTACACTTGGACGGTACGTAGTCGGCATAGGTCTCAGCGTGGCCCAGTTCTTCTGCCTCCTCTTCCTCTTCTCCCTCCTCCTCCTCAGGCTGGCTGTGTGACTGCAGGGTGTGACATTTCAGGGTCTGTCCTAACTTGCAGTGACCCAGCTTTCCCCAGGGCAACAGCCATGCTGCACGGAGTGGGCCACGCACAGTGCTGTGGAGGGAGGTGGCTCCACCTTTTCCCCTAAGTGGGGCTTCAGATTTCCAACTGCAAAATGGGCAGGGCTGCCCTGGACACTGGAGATGCCTTTAGAGCCTCTCTCTAGATCCCCAGGAGATACCCCAATTTACCTGGTAGCTGATGAGAAGAGGGGTGCTGGAGAGGGGGGTCACTGGATCTTCAAGAGCCGAGAATGGCCCATTAGGCAGTAACAGCTGTAGGGGACAGGAGGGGAGGATGTGAGCCATGGCCTCCTAAGCCAGCACCTGTATCCTTAGGCTCATTCTCAGGGCCAACCCCCCCCCCCCCCCAACCTGGGACGGGGCAGATCCTGGTAGGACAGGCTGAGGACAGATTGTGTCCCTGTGGCATGTGGGGGACCATGAGGCAGTAGCCTCTGGGCAAAGGAGAAGCAGACAAAAGGCAAGCAAACATCCCAGAGTGCAGACTCCCTTGGGAGGGCCTGTCCATCTAGTGGCTAAGGAGGAGCGGTCCTGCAAGACCTCCTCAATGTCCCCAATACTGTGATCATACTCCAAATATCACAAGCCAGAGTCCTTTACAGGAGAGATGGATGGCCCTGAGCCTCATCATAGTGACCTGGGACAGGACACGTAGCCACAAGTGTCGAAGGGTCAAGATAGACAAATGGTGTGGTCTGGCCAGTGAGTTGAGTCTGTAGCCATCATAGGGGATGTGGCTTTTCTTTGCAAACGGATTCTCAATTCCCCAATCTAAACATAAGGATATATTTTAAAGACTTATTTATTTATTTATTTATTGGTTTTTCCAGACAGGGTCTCTCTGTAGCTTTGGAGCCTGTCCTGGAACTAGCTCTTGTAGACCAGGCTGGCCTCGAACTCACAGAGATCTGCCTGCCTCTGCCTCTGCCTCCCAGGTGCTGGAATTAAAGACTTATTTATTTTATGTGTATGGGTGCTTTCCATACATGCGTGTGAGTGCATTGTGTGTATGTAGGCCTGTGGAGGCCAGAAGGTGCCAGCACCCCTGAAATTGGAGTTCCAGCCGTGATCCATCACTTAGATGCTGGGAATAAAGCCCGTAATGACAGCACAGTCCCCTTTGTTTGGCTGGTTTTTTAAAATAAAGGCATGTAGCCCAGGCTGGCCTCAAACCCTAAAATCCCTATCCTCCTGAGGACTGAGGTTACAGGGACAACAGCACACCTGGTTCATGTGGTCGGAGGATGGACCCCAGGCTTTGGGCAGGCCAGGGGAGCACTCTGCACTGACTGGCCGAGCAGGGACCGACTGCTCAGTGATGGCCCTGATGGCCCCTGCTCCTGATGGCAGGCGACCTTCAGCCCTGGCCTCAGCATCCTTGAGGGAGGACAGGAGTCTCTGGGGCACTGCAGGGACACTCACTGTCACGTGTCCCCTGCTCTGCTGGGAACAAAGCCAGGGGTGTCGAAAGCCAGCGGAAGCTCGGGAAGGTTACAAGTCCACACTCAGCCCTCCTGCCTCCTTCTACTTCTTTTTTTTTTTTTTTTCTTTCTTAAATTAACAAAAACCCAAACAGACTGGTGGAGGTTCCTGGAAGGCTGAGTCATGTTCCGGCCTGCTGGGCTGGGGCAGTGCAGGGTGTTAGGTTTCAGATAGGGGCTTAGTCCACAGCAGCCTGAGGCCCTGGGCGGGGTGGGCAGTACCCTGTGGCCTTGATCTCAGAAGGGAATGGTCACAGCAGCTCCTCACAGCAGGGGGGGGCAGCACACAGGGGCAGCCTGTCCTGATAGCCCCCTGCCAACTACACAACTGGCCTTCACCTCAGAGCTGCATGAGGACTCCCATCTGGGGACTCCTGGGAACATTCCTAACCTACACTCTCAAAGTCTACAGGTTTCCATTCGGAAGATCCCAGGAAGGCCTAGACTGGGGTTCCCTTGTATCACTAGAATTAGGGACCAGGTCAAGCTCAGTGAGGTTCCATCCATGCCAAGGGCTCCCCAAGTTGGAATGACCATACATGCCATTAGTGTCCTCTGGGGGCACTGCACCCTGCAGCCTGGGCACCCCAGTCACATACCTGCTGAGTTCTGGAGCCCTGTCTATGTGGAAACCCATCCACAGTGTGTAGAGCAAGAGAGGTCAGTCCCGGAAGCCATGATGCCCTGGGAGACACTGTCTGGGGTCTCATGTGTCAGGGAGTCGTCTGCTAACTGTCTCCTTGTCCTGAACACGAGGCCAGGTGCTCTCTGTGAGGCACCCTGGACCTTGCCAGAATTTTAGCAGGGTCACTGACTGTACCCGCCCAGGCCAGAAGCAGCCCCTTGCGGTCACATCTGTCTTCATCCACACCTCTGGGGTCCACCAAGGGTAGAGTTCTTGGGGTGAGAATTGGTAACCTAAATTGCCTTTGGAACTAGCTCCGTAGACCAGGCTGGTCTCGAACTCACAGAGATCCGCCCGCCTCTGCCTCCCGAGTGCTGGGATTAAAGGCGTGCGCCACCATCGACCGGCCTAGCCTTGGCAGAGTTGAGAGCAGCCCAGGCTGTGTGAGACTCCAGCTCAGTAACTAACAGACACCAAAGAAAAATAAACTCAGACAGCTTTGTGTCTCTCTTGGCTGCACCTGTTTCCAGCAGACACACATCTGAGACCCAGTTGTTAGGTTGGGAGCGTAGGTCCCAGCCCCCAGGCCTGGTCTGGACTTCAAATCCCAGCAGGCCAGGTCCTGACCCCACCCCCACTCCTCGGGGTACTTAAGTGATCCCCCAAAAGAACACGTGGTTCCCCTTTTTTCCTCCCAGGGGGTCGCGTTCCTGCGGCTTCCTGGTTTCCCCCTCGGGGCCACCCGAGAGTGCAGATCTCCCATTAAACCTGGATATTTTTTAATTTGGCTTGTTTTGATTTGGCTTGGTTTGATTGGGAATTTTTGCGTCGTCAGAGAGCTCGCATAGGAAATATTCCTAACACCAGCGGGGTCAATCTGGATGTGTAGTGGGTCTCTAGACTGTGAAGATTGTTCCTCCAGCCTCTGGAGTACAGCGCCCCTTAAAACCCAGGCCCAAGGAGGACAGGCCACAGCCCTCCCTGCTCCACCCATGTCACCAGAGTGGCCCTGCTGACCTTGCCAGGGGTGGCTGAGGTGCTGCTGCCATCCCAGATGGTGGACACCTCGTTGAGGCTGTCAACATGCATGCAGTCAGGCGTGTCCGGGATGTCTGACAGGGAATCCACAGAAGACGAGAAGATGGAGGCATTGGAGAGGTCCTCGAGGCATGAGGGGTCCTAGGAGAAGGCATGGGTGAGGCAGTAGCTGGTGTGGGTCCTCAGGCAAGCGACAATGTAGCCTGCCACCCAGTGGAGTATGCAAGCCGGGAACAGCAGTGAAGGCCCCCAGCACAACACGGAGCGACCGTGAAGACATGGCCTCAGTGAAGGCCCCCAGCACAACACGGAGCGACCGTGAAGACATGGCCTCAGTGAAGGCCCCCAGCACAACACGGAGCGACCGTGAAGACATGGCCTCAGTGAGAACCCAGTGGTGACAATGGATGGGACGAGTGCAGTGATGGCTAACAGGGATGGGATGAAATGTTCTAGAAGTCATTAAATACACACACTTCACATGAGTGAGCTAAACGGAATACGATCAAACCCAATAAGCTTAGGTTTGTTTGCTCTGGCCTCAAACTCATAGTAATCTTCCCTCAGCCTCCCAAGATGACAGGTGTGAGCCACCATCTCCACCTAGAGACCCTGAAAGCACTCTGCAGGTTGGGGGTCTCCATGCCCCTCCCACATCTCCAGCCAGGGTGAGGATCCTGAAGGCCGGGGCTTGGGCAGAACTACCCTGCACCCCTGAGCCCTGTGGCAGGTGGCAGGTGACATCTGCCCTGAGGCATTAGGATCACACCAGACAGAGCCCCTCACACACCCTGACTCTGGGATCTTGACATTGAGCACTCTCAGGGTGTACAGCAGGCTCTCTGGGCCACTGTCTGCAACAGAGGTGTGCTCAGAGAATGCCAGGGAGATGAGGCTGTCCACCCGGGTGGAAGTCTTGGTCCTAGGGTGGGTCCTGAGTAACAACTACCCACCTTCTCCATTAGTATGGGGACAGCTGCCAGTGCCAGCCCCTTAGTTGAGGCAGGCCAGGGCCATCTGGTTTTATCCAGGGAAGGGGAGGTATGTCTTCCTGGAGAAACCTGCATGAACTTGGGTTGCTATGGGGTTGGGCTTCATAGCTCCCACCTCCCAGGGCCCTGTGACCCCACTGCAGAGGTGGCAGCTTGCATTTAGGGACAGGAAAATGCACCGTGGGCTCTTGAGACCCGGTTGGTTCTCCATCATGTGCTGGGAACAGGCTCGGACAGACAGACAGCCACAGCCTGCTCCTTGTGCCACCTCCCTGTCCCCAGCACAGCGCCCAGTCTAAACCCTGGGTTTAGATGGGGCAGCACGGTACAGCTCTGAAACATGTGGTCTCCAGTATGGCGAGAACAAGGAAGGAGGCAGAGGAGACAGAAGAAGCCCTCGGGCATTGGGGCTGTATGTCTCAGGGCTCCCTAGAACACACCAGGGCGCCCAACACCCTCCCCACACACAGCCCTAGCACGTCAACTCGGGCCCGTTCTGTCCCCATCTTCAGCTTCCCTGGGATGATCTCTGGAGATGTGGCTGGAGGAGGCAAACCCTGTCCCTTTCACAGTAGCCTCAACCCAAGATGGGGACACTGTCAATTAAGGCTGGCCCAGGGAGGCAGACTGAGAGGGTAGGATGGCTTATGTCCTGAGGCATCACAGGACGGAGAAAGGAAGTGATGGGAAACTGAGGCACTCTACATGGCAGGCCACTGTGGTGTCAGCAGAAAGCCCCTCGCTCAGTGTGATGCACATGACACAGGGACAGAAAGTGAGGGCTCTAAGGAGCGCCGCGCCACCCTGGAACCCTAACTTTCTAAGCCAGTCTCACATTCCCCCTGCTGATCTCAGACCCGTCCTCCAGTGCTGGCATGGTGTAAGAGCACTCACCTGGCACCTTCAACGCCAGTCTAAAACTTCGCCAGCAAAGCCAGTGAAGGACAAACAACCTGACACGACCTCCCTTAGGACCAGGGTTTCCAGGGGTCCAGGACATTAACTAATCACAGACCCACATTGGTAAGCTCCCCCACCCGCTGGAAATGTCCTGGGCCTCCCCTGCAGGATGATCTGAGGATGGGGTTTCCAGCGAGGCCCCTCTAAAGTCTATACCATGTAGTCCCTCCCTGCTGGGTCTCTATTGGGTGGCACAAATGAGGAGGTTAGGAGGGTCCCCACTGTGGTTACTGGCTGCAGCATCTGATGGCCTGTTAGGGGGAGGGGAACTGGCAGGAGCAAGCCCTAGCTAGACCCTCCTAGGCCACTCAGAGGTCAGACAGCAGACAGCTTCCAAGCCCAGGAGGGACCCTCCCTCGGTCGGAAACACCCCTTCGGAAAAAGCCCTCCACCCCTTCTGGACTGGGAGACCAGAGGAAAGACGGGCTCCTGGCTCTACCTACCCCACGAGACCTGGCTGAGACTGAGTTCTGCCCTAGTCCAGGAAGAGGTGTTGACAAAGATCCTACAGGGGCTGAGAACATCCTCGACTCCCTTCCCCAGTCACCCCCGTGCTGGCTACTGCTCTAAAACTCTGGCACGTTCACTGTGACTCGCCAAGGAGAGTACAGCATGGGCAGGGCTGGGGGCGTCCTGCCCCGGTTCTGCCACCTGTGGGAGCTCAGGGGCGCCACAGCTGGCTCTGGGTGGCCCTGCTGGTCCCTGGCTGGTTACCTTGTTTAACGCGGCGAACTGCAGCCAGAAGCGCAGCTGCGACATGGTCGGGGTGTGGGGCGCTGAGCAGTGGCCGCCGTGTCCCCCTGGAAGAGCTGCCGGGGAGCACCAGCCTCATGACCACGGTGGCCGCAGGCTCAGCAGCTCTGTCGGGCTGGAGGCAGCAGTGATCCTGCCGGCCCCATTTGCATGAGGGTTAGTCACCGGCTCCCGACTTCCCCTAAGGCTGGGCTGAGTTTCAGGAAATGATGCCTGCCTGGTAAGTCAGGGCAGTTACTGGCAGAGTGCAGAGAATTACTGTAGGGGGCGGACCGGCCCAGAAGGGCTGTCAACAAAGGCGCACCCTGCCGGGCCCAGCGCCTGGTCTGGTCCTATTCTCCTGGGGCGTTCAACCGGGGTTAGAGGACAAAGCCTCAGTTTCCCCAGAACTACTGAAGCACTAGACCCTGTCTGTGACCCTCCTCCCCAAGGATGACAGGAATTAGGGGCTGGAGGGGGGCACCGTGAGAAGTTGGGCTAGGAGAAATGAGGCCAAGGCACCCCTCTATTCCTCCCTTAAGCTAAGCGGAGCCTCCCTAGCCCTTGATCAAACCGCATCCTTATCCTCAAGCTTCCTCAGGCCGGGCCACAGATTCCTGGTGTCCCTGAAGGAGCTGGGGGTCACAGTGGTGTGATTCCCCCATAGGGCTACAGTCATTTACAGCTGCCCCTGGGGACTGTGGCCTCTCCAGTTGGAAGATGAGGTACCCTAGAAGAGGGGTCAGAGCTCCTGGGAAGAAGGCTGAGAAGCCCAGCAAGCAGGTCCCATGCAGGGACAAGAACCCTGGCCATCCTGTCAGGACCACTCCCTTGGTCACCCAGGACAAAGGCCCCAGAAGCAGCAGACAGAGCAGACTCATGTTCCTGGCCCTCATCAACCCTGGCAACATCAGTCCTACCCAGAAGCCCCTGCACTGCATTGCAGACCGGTGCAGGCACTGAGCAAAGTGTCAATTCCAGTTAGCGGAGTAAAGCCAGGCACCATGGAGCACCCTTGTCATCACCCCGAGAGGATGAGGCAGGAGGATTGGGAGAGTAGCCCAGGCTACAATGAAAGACCCTATCTCAATAAACTGAAAACAGAACCGGCTGAGGAGAGTGGGGAGCTGAAGCCCAAGGACTCTGGGAAGCAGCCAGGGAGCTTCCTAGAGGGCAAAGTACTCACTAGCTAGGAGTTAACTCCACAAACGCATGCATTTCTAGATCCTCAGGGGAAATAGGAGCACCTAACAGAGAATCACAGCGCTAGGAAGGTGGAAACAGGACACTTTGTCCATAGCCGGGAATATCACACAGCATGAGCAGGAGAGACCCCAGCACACGTGGCTTGGAGGAACCTTGAGGACACAGAGCACACACCATGTGGGACTCCAAGGGCTGGGGACGAGATGGAATAACCTGTCAGGGGACACGCTTTCCTCCGAGGAGACATGTGTTCTAGAACTGGAGAGAGGTTGAGGGCTGCCTGTGTCTGTAAATGCACTCTATGCAGCCAAGGCTAACCTGGAGCTCCTGATCCTCCCATGCTGGTGAATGGACACTGAAAGGACAATCTTTACAGCTGTGTGAGCTCTAGTTTAGAAAGAACTATTGGCCAGCACTCAGGAGGCAGAGGCAGGTAGATCTTGAGTACAAGGTCAGCCTGGGCTACAGAGTTAGTTCCAGTACAGCCAGGGCTAAAAAGAAACGGGGGGGGGGGGTGCAATTTCAGGAGGACTGAGAATAACAGAAACAAGTAAGAAGCTGAAGTCAAAAACAACCCAAGCATGAAAGGTGAAGGGCTTGAGGGCTCTTCCAGGAGAGAGAGAACTCAGGAATCTCTCAGTCTGGGAGGAGGAAGAGCTGGGAATAGGGTGGAGGGATGGACAGGGCCAAGCTAGACACACAGCCCAAAGATGGGACATTGCTGATGTGGAGGTCTGGGCTGATGATGGCCACTAGTGGGTGGCAGGGCTGGCCAGAGGGCACTGACTCCCAGGCTAGCTGGTCTTTGGATTTGATGGAGGCAGTGGGGGTGAGTGTTCCTTACAGGGACAACCTGAACCTCATCTGACCTTAGTCTTAATGCCCCACTGTGTCTCCGGCCTTGGTTCTCAACACCACAAAAGGACAGAGTAGGGCAAGGAGGGTTGCTAGCCTCGCACAGGGGTCTCAGAGCAGAGAAGCAGGGCTTCTGTGGATGGCTGCAGGCAGCCCACAGGTCACCCCAGCTGTGCTAGTTCATCGGCTGAGCCGGCACTCAAGAGACTGAGGGAGGACTAGCAGGAGGTCAAGGCCAGCCTGGGCTACAAGGGCTATTCCAGGACTGAGAAAAACCCTGCCTTGGAAAAACAAAACAAAACAAACAACAACAACAAAAAACAGGCAGTGGTGGTGCACACCTTTAACTTCAGCACTGGGGAGGCAGAGGCTGGTGGATCTCTCCAGCCTGGTCTATGTAGTGAGTTCCAGGATAGCCAAGTCTGCTGCACAGAGAAACCTTGTCTCAAAAAACAAAACATACAGGATCTGGTGTGGTACAAGGCTTGGGGGCAGAGTGAGAGAGTACCACAGAGCCCTGGGTTCATCCCAGACACCAAAGAAATCAGATGTGGGAAGTTGAAGGCGGAAGATCAGGAGTTCAAGGTCCGCCTCAGCTACGCAGTGAGTTCAGGGAGATTGGCTGCTCTTTGGAGGACCAGGTTTTTTTATTTTGGCTATTTATTTATTTATGGTTTGTTTTGTTTTTTTTTTTTGCAGACAAGGTTTCTCTGTAGCTTTGGGGCCTGTCCTGGAACTGACTCTGTAGGCCAGGCTGACCTCGAACTCAGAGATCCACCTGCTTCTACCTTCCGAGTGCTGGGATTAAAGGCGTGCACCACCACCCAGAGAAAACCAAGGTTTAATTTCCAGCACCCACATGGTAGTTTACAACTGTCTGTATGTAACTCCAGTTCCAGGGAATCTGATACCCTCACACAAATGTGCACATAAAACTGAAAAACAAACAAACAAACAAACCACTCCTGGGCCTGGACCCTAACAACATAGTATAGCAGAAATACTGGGCTACATACATACAACATACATAGGGTCATGGTGAATTTTTACCCAACCACAGATGTCTCTATGAAATGGAGGATCAGACACAAAAAGAAGCCGTGGCACAGGAGGCTGGGGCTGGAGACTGGCTAAGAGTACCTGGTGACTGTGGCAGGAGTGGCCAGATAGGGACTGTGCAAACCCGCCTCACACACCAGGCTCCCCAGGAGGGAAAGCCAGATTCTCAATGGTTTTGGCCTCAGTCTCCCCTGCCCTGCCCACTTGCTGACTCTCCACAAGCCCCGCCCTGTGGCTACAAGTTCTGGGCATAGCCTGGGCCACAGTGCTGTGGATCTCGCTGTGCAGGGTCCCCCCACAACCCACAGCCCACCTCTACATGGCAGTAGCCGCATGTCTTCCTGTAAGCGAGCACCCCTCTCTGGCTCTCCTTCCCTAATGTCCATAAACTGTCGGGCAGGCAGAGGCCAGACCTCTGATCCCTGAGACTAACATTTGCAGAGCAGTCGATGGGATGCGCTGTGATGCGGCCGCCCGCGGGGCAGGGCGGGAGGTGGGAGGCGGCAGCGCCGCTCCTTCCTGAGCGTGAGCTCATCTAGCTTCCCAGCAACCAGCCTGAGAGCACATTACGGGTACACAATCTTGGAGGGAAGTGGGGGGGGGGCCTGGGGTGCAGGCCTACCTGTGTACACAGCACCCCATCCTACCTGTACAGGGCCATGGCTAAGAATACGGGGTTTGTGTGGCTTTGCACCCACGCCAGGAGCCTCAAGGGAGATTCAGGGCTTGGATGGGCACTGGGAATGTTGAGGAGCCCTAGGGCATTCTAGGGGTACAGGCCAGGAGAGGCCTGAGGAGAATACAGAGGAAAGACAGGGGGTTAGACAGCAGGTCCTTCCCCCCTCCCTCTAGCACCCCTCACTCCCAAATGTCCCAGGCTTTGCCCTCCAGAGCTGTCAGTCTATCTGTACCCCTAGAAACAGAAGCTTCCGCTAACAGCTCCAGCGGTCACCTGGCCCTCATGTCCATTCCTGGACACGTGCCTGGAAACAAGGCCCCGTGGAAACTCTTTCATCCACGATGGCCAAATGGATAAACAAGTTCTGCAGGTGAGTGCACAACGGACATGGGGAGCACTGTCAGCCATGACAGGTAGCGACATAGGCCACAGTGCGGAGGGACCCAAACGCAAAAGGCCCCACAGTGTGGGGCTCCACCAAAGGAAATGTCCAGAGCAGAAGAACCCAAAGACAGGAAAAGGATTCTTAGGTGCAGGGACTGAAGAGGGGAGGTGGTCATTCATGGGATGGGTGATATGGTGGCTTTGGAGTCACGTGATGTCTCAACTTAAAAAACACACATGAAAAAACAAAACAAAAAACCCAGCAACTCAAAAATGGAGACAAAACCAGGCGTTGAGTACCCACGCACCTGCACAGCCCAGGGTAGGCTATCCCCACAGGGTCTGTGGAGCTGTTCCGGTCACCGAGCAGGACTATCAGAGCCCATGGGGTAGGGGCTCCAAGCCACCTGGAGATGGAAGGCGGAGCAGGGATTCACAGGGCCCTTTCCTTGTAGAAGCAGGTGGTGGAGGTCTGGGGCTGGCTGAAAAGGAAGGCAAGGCTCCAAGAGGTACTGCCAGGAACTCAAGACTGTGGGAGCCTGATTTGACCCCTGTGTGATGTGACGGGGCCAGGGGGGGGGGGACGGGACGGGACGGGACGGGGGACTCCCACAGCTCTCAGCAGAGGGAAAAGAGCCTGAGCAGAAGACAGCAGGGATCAGAGGTGACTATCCAAGGAAGACACAGAATGGCAGACAATACTTTGGATTTCTTCTGTTTCTTTTCTTATTGTAGTTTTCTTGTTGTTTTGAGACAGACTCTCAGGTGTAGCCAAGGAGCACCCTAGACTCTCCCCTTCCATCTGGCTCCCAAGGGCAGGAATCGGAAGGACTTCTTCCTTAGAGGGCTAAATCACATGGCTCATAGTTTTTCTCTTTTTGCTTCTTCTACCAAAAAACTTGGGGCTTGTGTTTGGTTTCCAGCTGCCTGAGGGTTTCTTCTCTGCTGGTTCCTGGCACAGCTGGGTTTTCTGTCCCGACTCCAGGCTCACACTGTTGCAGTGAGCAGAGGCCACAAGGGTTGTTCGAGCAGAGGCCTGCAGCCTGCAGCCTGCAGCCTGCAGGTAAAAACTCTAAACTCAGATGGGTGGGGTTGGCACCACACCTAGGTCCAGGTCTCCTCACTTGAGCACTCCTCATGTCCCTTCTGCTCAGTGTGACACTAGGCTCAAGTCTGGCTCCTTCTTGTTCCATGGAATTCAAGGCCACCAGGGGCCCAGGGAGGTGGGGGAGGTGAAGGCAGGTGACAAGCTTGGGCCCCTCAACCCTGGGTCCAACCTTCTGTGAACAGGGCACAGGCATGGGGTGTGCACCTCCACAGGCATTTTGGGGACAGTGTGTGCAGGGCAAACATATAGCAAGTGGTCAATAAATGCTCACCCACTGGATGGATGTGGCTATCTGCCATGAGAGCCACCATGTCTCCAGATGTGTTGGGACAAACAGGGTCCAGGTAAGGGGCAGACCACATAAGCACAGTTCGTGGGGGCCTGGCCTCAGGGAGTTCTAACCAAAGGGAGGAGGCAGCTGTAGGCCTCTGGCATCAGAAGAGATGGAGACAGAGACACAAAGACAGAGGGCAGACAGGGAGACAATACAGGGACAGAATGTGAGGGCTGATCTTGCCAGCTTGCCACATCTGGAACAATGAGCCCAAGCAGCTGGGCCCACCTGTAGAAGACTCTCTTGACTGGACCCTAACTTGGCCACACCTTCTGGTGGCAGTCTGCATAAAAGGCACAGAAGGAATCCTTTGCTCTCTGCCTGCTCACCCTCTCGCTGGCGGGTTCGTCTACCCTGCGGCTGAGGCACTCCTTCCCTGGTGAGAGCCCACTTCTTCAGGATTCCAGGGCAGTCTGACGACTCCAGCGCTGCATTGGGACTGCTGAGACATCCTGCTTCAGGACTAGGACAACCCAGGTCACAGTCCGTAAGCCACACTACTAAATGGCTGCATGTGTCTGTATCTGTAGCTATGCGCATGTATGATATATTATATACTCATTCACCAGTTCTGTCCTTTAGAACCATGACTAAGGCACAGAGAGACAGACACAGAGACAAAGACAGAAAGGCAGTCGAGATGTGCTGGCAGGCCTGGCTTCCTCACTGTGTTCTGAGGAGCCTGTTAACACAACATTCTTTACACTTCTGCAGAGACCTGGTGACAGAGACATATGCCACTGCCCTGTTGCTGAGCAGAGCCCTCTGGGACAGCTCCCTGGTATGAGTTCTTAGGTGGCAGTGAGGGGCTGGTGGGGCGGATGCCCTGGTGACTCATGGGGAATGGGATTCAGACCCTGTCCTGTGATCTGTGGGGGGCTTGGCTACCCGCACATGCTGCACGGGGCACGGACGCTTTGTATAGGACCTGTGGGGAAACCCACCACAGTGCAGGGTGTGAGGCAGGTGTGAGACAGGACAGACGATCTACCCCGTGAGCCACAGACCCTGGGAGCCTCCAGCCTTCCTCATACAGCTCCCCGGCTAGGGAAAAGTCACCTTCAGGTACAACTCTGCAGCAAAGTCCCAAAGGCCAGTGACAGCAGATCTCAATTCCAGGATGCCAAGACCAGTCTGGGTGGCCTGATTCTCCCTGCCCAGAGTGGCCTTGAATCCCTGTCCCATCAGTCCTGATGAAGATTGGCAGCCACAGTGATGGCTCAGGGCCCTGTGCAGTGCTGTTACCTGAGCAAAGTCGCTGCTCTTGGAGAAGAAGCTGGGAACAGTGGCTGTGGTGGGGTAGCTGGTGTCAGGGCAGGACTGGCCATCAAGGAATGGGGTGGAACCCATGAACTGTCTGCAAAAAGAAATGAGAGTGACCACGGGGCTGAGAGAGGCAAGGCGGGGCACAGGATCGCAGGACCCCTCTCAACTGGTGGGAGCTCAGTCACATCAGTCACATGGCTGATAAGGCTTGGCCTGTCACACTGGACAGTCATGGATCCAACCCAGGGGCTTTAGAAACACAGCTCAGAGCATATCCCAGGACAGGCTTGAGTCAGTTTACCAACCAGCACCTCCTACATGGCTTCCTACATGGTCCCTCAGACACGACACCCACACAGGACAGACAAATATGACCTGTTTCTCTGTGGCCAAGAAGAATAAGGAGAAGGGAAGGAACAGAGGCAGTCCTGTCAGGGCTGCTATCCCAGCTGAGTAATGAGGCCCTGCAGGTGAGGGGGCTGGGCTCAGTGAGCTGTGCTGAGCCTGGGGGTCGGGGGACGGGATGTCGCATGAAGCAGAGGGACACTGGCCATCCCTAGGGCCTCTACCCGCTTTCTGGAGAGATTTGCTAAAACAAACATGAAGGCTGAGTTCACATAATAAATCCCAGAGCCTGCCCACAAATGATTCCCTGTGGGAACCTGCTGTGTGACACCAGGACCTGAACCACATGCACGGATAACCTCGGCATGGCGACAGGCAGAGTCAAATGGTGGTGAGCTCCAGATCCAGTGAGAGAGTCTGTAGCTTTGAAGTCTGTCGTGGAACTAGCTCTTGTAGACCAGGCTGGCCTAGAACTCACAGAGATCCGCCTGCCACTGCCTCCCGAATGCTGGGATTAAAGACATGTGCCACCACCACCCAGCGAGAGATCCCATTTCAAAAACCAAGGTGGATGGGGCTGGAGAGATGGCTCAGTGGTTAAAGTACTGGCTGCTCTTCCAAAGGATACAGGTTCCCAGTATCCACGTGGTGGCTCTCAACCACCTGTAACCCCAGTTCTAGGGACCCAATACCCTCTTCTGCCTCCATGGCATGCACGTCATATATAAACATACATGCAAGGCAAAATATCCATAACTGAGCTGGGTGTGACAGCCATCTTTAACCCCAGCACTCTGGAGGCAGAGGTGCTTGGATTTCTTTGAGTTCCAGGCTTCCTGGGCTACACAGGGAGTTCCAGTTAGGACTACAGAGTGAGACCCTGACTCAAATTTAAAGAAAAAAAAGGTAGTGAGTGAATGACAAACATACCCAGCACTGGCTTCCAGCCCCACATGTACAGGCACGCACGCTTGCACATGCAAGCAGGCATGCATTCACGCACCACCCTGGAACGGAAGCTCTGACCCAATCTGCTTTGAGTTGTTTGCATAGTGCATGTTCCTCCAAGCCTTCAAAACCCAGGACTCTCTGGGGGTCCTGGAGTCCTCCCCCAGCAACCTCTGCCATTTCAAACCCAGATTTGTCCTGACACAGGGCTCTGCAAACACGCTCTCTCTAGACCTGGTCTTCCAGGCTGCTCTACCATGCAGCGCTGGGGTGAGTCCCACTGCACACTTACTGGTTTTCACTGGAGAAGGTGGGGTACGAGGCCGGTGAAAAACTGCTCCACCAGGGACAGTGCAGGAGTCGGTTCTGAAACACAGGGGGGCATCAGGTACAGCAGGAAGAAAGCAGGGCCCCAGTGTACAAAAGGCAAGGGTCATGGAGAACCACTAAGTCAGCCAATGTCTCAGCTTTCCCATGTGCATGAGGTTAGCCATGGAAGGCTGCAAAGAAGGCAGAAGGAAGCCTCACAGGGCTGAAATGTTCCCTTCCAATAAGAACCCTGGAGACTGCTTGAAAGGGATACGGAGGGATGGTCTGCCTAGAATCTCAGTGAGGGGCTGGAGGCGTGGTCAGGGTAGAGCCCCACCTAGAATCCCCAGTGAGGCATTGTGGGCATGGTCAGGGTGGGGCCCCGCCTAGACTCTCAGTGAAGGGTTGGGGGCGTGGTCAGGCTTGGAGTGCCTGCCTAGAATCTCCCAGTGAGAGGGGCTTGGGAGTGGCTTAGGATGGGGGGTGTGGTTCCAGGCTCTGGGACCCCAAAGGTACTCTGGGCAAAGTTGAGGTTCACCCAAAACCTCTTCAACAAGGGACCAGCATTCCTATCCCTAATAGGGCTTGATGCTGCCCTAAATGAGCAACCATGGATGTCATCATAAAGGATCACATGCTGGCGGACCCAGCGCCATCCACTGAGTCCGCCATCCCTGTTTCTGTCCCTGGAATCCTGTTTGGGAATCGTACCATGGGGATGGATGTAGGGAGGAGAAGGCAGCACTATTTATAGCAGAGGAAACTGGACTCTCTCCAAAGGCCCCACAATAGGGAAATAATTAAGTAAATTATGGGTTGTGGATGAAGGAACAGTGGGCGGGGAACATGGAGGGCCAAGCAGAAAGGATAGGAGCTGGGCCTGTCCTGGTTGCCAGCCAGGGTTTCTGAACTGTGAGTGACATTCTGGGTGTCAGCACTACATGATGTGGAGCTCCATTAATGACACTTCCTCGTCTGTGCTCTACCCATAGGAGCATGTAGTGGCCCAGCTGGGCACAGTATGGGGACTGGGTAAGCACCACTCTACCTGGCCCTTCCAGTGTCTCAGCTGTGCCCACCTCTGTTCCATCTGGTTCCCCCTCATCCTGTCTGACCACCCTTCCTGTGTCCTGCATCCTCAGTGCCTGTGACAGCACAAGAAGACAGAGGGCAGAAGGTGCTGTCTCCCTTAAGAGCAGCCCCTGCCAGGCCAGCCTGGTCTACAGAGCTAGTTCCAGGGCAGGCTCCAGGGCTACAAAGAAACCCTGTCTCAAAAAACAAACAAACAAACAACAAAAAAGAGCCCCAAATGAAGCTGGAGCTGGTGCAGTCTGCAGCGAGTCCTGGGCTCCATTCCCAGCAGACACCAGGCGTGGTGGCGCACACGAGCCACCCCAGCTTTCAGGATCACCCTCTCATACTGGCAAACTTGAGGCCACTCTGGGTTACAACGAAACCCAACCTCAAAAACAAAACAACAATAAAACAAACAAACAAACAGAAGCCCCTCTGCTGCCAACTGTGGGCAGGAGACTCAAGAGGATGCTGCAGGCCAGGGTCAAAGTCAACCTCTTTCTCACTCAGGGACAGGACTGCGTCTAGGGTGTCACTGTAAGCTATGGAGCAGGGCTCTGTAGACGTGCTACAAAGGTTGTCATGGTCCTCTGGGGTGGTTATGAGAATAAGGACAAGACTCACCTGCAGCTGGATGCCACCTCCAGGGGGCGGGAGCTCATGCGGAGGGAAGTCCCCATCCATGGTGGGCTCCACTGCCAGCATCAGGCGGGTGACAGTGGGGCTCCGCAACCCTTGGGTGGCGCTATCTGGCTTTCTCACTCTGCGGTACTAATAGTAGCAGGTGCGATGTCATGTCCTGTGGCTGAGAGAATGTCATACTGAACTGACTGTGTATGCTCCCTGACCCAGTGACTCCCATTTGGGATGGTGTCAGGGCAGAAGGCTCCTGGCCCACTGAGGCCATCGACACATCAACACTAGTCATGGCACAGCCGCTACCTACTGGGTCCACCCACTATGAGCGGAACAGACTGAGGCTGGCCCTGTGGCCCTGTGGGGATGGCCAGTTAGGCCCTCTAGACACTGCAGACACCCAAAGCCTGTCATGAGCCCCAAGTCTCTCAGAAGAGCCCCAGAAGTTCCCGCTGGGTCAGATCAAGAAAAGCCCTGCTCAGGGTATCCTAGGCTTGGGGGTAATGAACCCTCAGCCCCGACACAGTCAAACGCAGGACAAGTACGGCCTTCTCCCCACGTCTGTGGTACAGACCAGAGCACACCGAGGTCCCTAGACTTCCCACCAGCCAGACTTGAGCCCCCAGGCCAGCCAGAAGGGAGGTAGAATTCAGACAGGCAGAGCACAAGGTTAATCACCAAAGAGGCAGGAAGGGGAGAAGACACCGCCCAGTTAAGCCCTAGAGTGGAGCTGGCCCTTCCAGTAATTGCCCACAGCACAGGCCGCAAGCAGCAGGCAGTGGCTTGTGTAATCCAGCCAGAGGAAGGGCCTGCCTGGGGATGGTGGCAGGAGGGAGGGAAAGGGGCCCAGTAGGCAGAGGCAAGACTGCCAGCAAGGCCAGAAGTCCTGCTCCCCACCAGTCCCTGCTCAAAGGCCATCTGCTCAGCTCAGCAGGCCCAGACTTGTGATGGCCTGGTCACAACTGGATAGCACTCAGAGCAGCTCATGGTGGATAGATACTGTGTAATCTGAGGGACTGGATGTCCTCATATTTCGGGGCAAACCGGGATATGGCTCAGTGATGAAAGTTTGCCTAGCTCTGGGTGCTGCAAGCCTGTCACCCCGGACTTGAGACGCTGAGGCAGCAAGATAACAAGTTCAAGACTGGTCTGGGCCACAGAGCGACTGCCTCAGAAAGTAAACACAAGTTATGGGGTGTTGTTGGGTGTTTGCCAGGGATAGATAAAGCTTTAGGTTTGATGCTCGGCACCCCATAAACAAGCTGTGATGGTGTACCCGTCATCCAGCACTAGGGACTGGAGACAGAAGGACCAGGAGGTGAAGGTCAGTTGGGGCTACACAGGAAGTTAGGGCCAGCCTGAGCTACATGAGCTCCAAAACAAAACAAGGAACTGGAGGTCTACTGGGTAAAAATACCCACTGTGCAGACTTTGTTCCCAGCACCACAGAACAAGGACATGGCCACACACACTTATAACGCAGCAGTAACTGTGACAGACACAAGCCAACAATGCAAGCTCCAGGGTCAGTGGGAGGAAGTCAGGCTGAGCCTGTGACTCAATGGGTAGAGCACTGGCCTAGCATATACAGGGGCCTAGCTCCATCCCCAGCAAACACCAGGTGCCACAGTATGGTGTGGGAGGCCCTTCTGTATATGTGTTGCTTTTATTGGGTAATGGATAAAGAAGCATGCTTGGCCTGGGATAGGGCAGAGTAGAGCTAGGAGGGGAAAACTAAACTGAATGCTGGGAGAAAGACAGAAGAGTCAGAGACGCCACATAGCTACCAGGGGGGAAAGATGTGAGGTGCCAGCTGGAACCTTGCTGGTAGGCCACGAGCCTCGTGGTAAAATATAAAATAATGGAAATGGGTTAATTCTAGATGTAAGAGCTAGCTAACAGTATGCTTAAACTAGTCGCCAAACAGCATTGCAAATAATGTAAGTTTCCTTTTTTTCTTTTTTTTTTTTTGGTTTTTTTGAGACAGGGTTTCACTGTAGCTATCAAGCCTGTCCTGGAACTAGCTCTTGTAGACCAGGCTGGCCTCAAACTCACAAAGATCCACCTGTCTCTGCCTCCCGAGTGCTGGGATTGAAGGCGTGTGCCATCATCCGGTATAATGTAGTTTCTGTGTGATGATTTCGGGAGTCTTGGCATCCAGACAGAAAATCCGGCCTCCCCCAACAACAGTACACACCTGTCATCCCAGCACTAAGGGGGGCGGGGGAGCAACCAGGATGCCAGGAGTTTAAGGTCATCCTCGACAACACAGGGAGTTGGAGGATCAGCCCATGTCATGAAATCATTTTTAAAGATTTATTTTAATTTTATGTATATGGGTGGTTTGCCTGCACTTGTGTCTGTGTGTGCCTGGGGCTCACAGAAGCCAGAAGAGGGCATGGGATCCCTTAGAACTGAGGTTACAGACAGTTGTGAGCCATCATGTGGGTGCTGGGAATTGAACTTGGACAGACAGTGCTCCTAACCTCTGGGTCATCTCTCCAACCAGAGAAACAGTGCTTTGTTTTTGTTTTTTTTTCCCATTTCTTTCTTTCTTTTTTTTTTTAATTGTTGATTTTCGTTTAGTTTTTTGAGGCAGGGTTTTTCTGTGTAGCCCTGGCTGTCCTGGGACTTACTCTGGAGACCAGGCTGACCTTGAACTCATAGAAATCTCCCTGCCTCTGCCTCCCAAGTGCTGGGACCAAAGGAGTATGCCACCATCACTGGCTGTTTTTGTTTTTGAAGAAAGGAATAAGGCAGAGACTGACAGAGTCCTCTGTGTATAGACGCACACGAGCATGTGCACACGCACACGCAGAGATTTAGGGGTGAGGCAGGCCACACCTGGCTCCATCTTGGCACCTGTGGTCCTTGGGTCTTAGTAGCCCATCAACTAACTAATGGACCTAACTGCTGAAGGGTCCAGACCTCCTCAGCTCAACTTCTGCCTCCCAACCAAGCACCCTGAGGGTGAGTGGGGCAGAACCCTTCAGAGCCCAGTCCTGTGGTGCTGCTTCGTGCTTCTCCCAGGCCTGGTATCTGCTGGGCTGGAGGCTAGCCTCAGGCTGTTGTCTGAGGAAGTAGCTGACTGGTCATCCAGACAGTTATCAGGGACCCTGCAGAGCAGGCTGGAACCACCATGCTGTGTCTTTTCCTCTTGTCATCTAGGAACACTCCCTCCTGTTCTGAGAGGCTGTGCTGGAAGGTGTGGGTCATGCTTGGTCAGTCAGGGGCAGGGGTCAGGCTCAATAGCCACTGAGTGGTAGGAGCAATCTCAAGTGATCTGGGATTTGTGTCTTGGTGATCCTTGCTGGTTCCTCTGACCAGGCAGAGGGTTCAGACCTAGACCTGGAGTAGAGGTGGGAGCAATATGGGCATCTGCCAAGGCACTGGGCACTCTGAACTGTAGAGTAAGGAGCACAGGCAAGCCAGCATCATGGCAAAGCCCCAGAAAGTGCCTAGTGGTCCCTTAAGAGTTAAACAGAGCCGGGTGGTAATGGCGCACACCTTTAATCCTAGCACTCGGGTGGCAGAGGCAGGCGGACCTCTGTGAGTTCGAGGCCAGCCTGGTCTACAAGAGCTAGTTCCGGGACAGGCACCAAAGCTACAGAGAAACCCTGTCTCAGAAAAAAAAAAAAAAGAAAGAAAAGAAAAAGAGAGAGTTAAACAGAGCTGTTACAAGATCCAGCAGTTCTACTTTTAGCCATGTGCCCAAAGCAAAGGTCCACACAAATACATATCAATTAACCCTAGGGTCTACTGATAGATGATGGACACATGGTGTGTACCACCCACACACCAGTGTGTTACACAGCCATGAGCGGAGGAGAACTCAGGTATACTCCACAGGGTGGAGGGACACTGGGGTCACTGTTTTCAGTGAGAGCACCAGACAAAAAGTCCACAATGTGGACTGCAGGCTGACGGCCTGAGCGGCTGGAGAGCCGTCTGACCTCCACACACCCTGGCACGCACACACTCAGGTTCCCCTGTGGCCGCGGTGCAGTGCCCAACCTGAACCTGCATCTTTTCTGCTAGCAGTCAGAGAGCAGCACTGCCTCCTCCAGCCTTCCTAGATCCCCTAGGTCATCCTTCCTCCCAAGGTCTCCAGGTATGAACTCACTCTGGGTTATGGAGCCAGCCCAACAAGTCCCCAGAATACATTCAGGAGGGGGCTAGCAAGATGGCTCAATGGGTAAAAACATTTTCTTTGGACCAGGCTGGCCTTGAATTCACAGAGGTCCTGGAAGTCTGAAGTCTGCCTCCAATTGCTGGGATGTTTGAAGGTGGTAGTGGTGCATACCTGTCATTCCAGTAAGAGGGGACAGACAGCAGGTGAGCTGGGCACGCCCTCTTAATCACCAAGACCTGGGAGGCAAGGGGATCTCTGAGTGAGTATTGGTTAGCCTGGGCTATCTAAGAACAAGCAAACAAAACATAAAAAAAAGGGGGGGGGTAATCTTAAGGAGCAAAGGACCTCAAGCTTCCAGAAGCAACTCTGGCCTGTGACATACTGTGCAACTGCTGCGGGCCCTCCAGGAGGCTCAGAGCCTGTCCGTAGTGGCTCAGCTGTGAATTAGCTTCTCTGGAGTCACCCACTGAAGTGGATGTCTAGTGTCCAGGAGTGGGAAGCTGCCCACAGGGGACCACCAGAATGTCCTGGGGTTAGACATGCAGAAGCAGGGCCAGAATACATCAGCTAGATAGTGCATAAAGAGCCTGCTGCTCGCCATGACGGAGACCCACAGGCCTGCTCCACAGGAGCATGGGGGAGTCAAGTCTGGCCTCTCTGTCACTGGGCTCTTACACCCCCAAATCCAGTGAGTTCACAGCCCCGGGATCTAGCCCAGGCAGCAGGAAGCTAGTGGGTTTCATGAGGCTCAGCCATATGAGGCAGAGTCTTCGGTAACTCAAACACCTGATTAGGCCCTGACTGGCGTAGCTAGAGCTGCCTAGAACATCACGGTCACTCTCAGGTCTTTGGTACATCTTCTGTACAGACATTGGCCTTCTTGGAACCTCTGGGGCTAGTTACACGTGGAGGAAACTGAACAGTTGGGGGCTGACTAGAAGAGGTGTTCATGGTGGACATAATTAGAGATGTGTCCACTCACAGATGAGGTCCTGGATGGACTCCAGGAGGTGAATAATGAATCACTGGCAAGGGGA